AGCAAAAAAATAAATAATAAATAATAAATAAAAAAGTAAATAAATATAATTAATTAATTATATTTATTTATATCTTCTTCCTTCCCTAATGGGGCCCCACAACAGCAGCAACTGCAGCAGCAGCAGCAAATCTTTCTTTTCTTGCTGCTACTGCTGCTACTGCTGCTGATGCTGCTGCTGCTGCTCCACTTTAGGTGTACGTACACCTCATTATTCCTCTTCTTTTCTTCAGGTGTATATACACCTAAATACTTTTTTTCTTTCTTTCCTCTTATGATTGCTTTGCTGCTTATTAGCTTGGGGCCCCCTTGGGTTTGAGCTGCTGCTGCTGCTGCTGCAGCTGCAGCAGCAGCAGCAAAGTGCTGCTGTCTTGCATTTCTACCGACGTGTGCAGCAACAGCAGCGTCAACAGCAATACTGGAAGCAGCAGAAGCAGCAACAGCAACGGCAACAGCAACAGCAGCAGCAGCAGCAGCACGGAGGCCTAATCGTGCAACCGCCTCAGCAGCAGCTAGTCTCTGCAGCAAGCCCGCTACCCAACAACGGCAACAGCAGCATCTGCAGCACCAGCAATAGGAGCAACAGAAACAACAGCAGCAGCAACAGAAGCAGCAGCAGCAGCAGCAGCAGCAACTAGCCCGTTGTGTGTAGCAGCAAATGCTGGCCTCTATCGATTGTTGAGGGCTTCCTATCTTCTCCCTCAGCTCTTAGGTTTGCTGCTGCTGCAGCAGCTGCTGTAGCAGCAGCAAACCTAAGACCATGAGCAGCAGCAGCAGCAGCTCCATGAGCAGCTGCAGTAGCAGCAGCACCACGAGCAGCAGCTGCAGCAGCAGCAGCAGCACGAGCAGCAGCAGCGGCAGCACCTGCAGCGACTGCAGCAGCAGCATCATATGCAACAGCCGCAGCAGCAGCAGCAGAAGGGTAGAGACAGAGACATCGTTTGCATCAGCAGCAGATCCTACTGCTGCTGCTGCTGCTGCTGCTGCTGCTGCTGCAGCAGCAAAGCCGCATAAAGAAGATGTAATAGAACAATCAGGAGAAGGAGGGGGTTTGCTGTCATTGAATGGTAAGCTGCTGCTGCTGCTGCTGCAGTGGCTGCCTCTTAAGGAGCAGCTGCAGCTGCTGCTGCTGTCTCGTGGGGTGTATAGGCAGCTATGTACTATGCCCTTTATTGAATCCCTTTGCTGCCCCCCTGGTAATAGCCTGCAGCTGCTGCTGCAGCAGCACGTACACCATCCGCTGCTGCTGCAGCAGGAACGCTTGCTGCAGCAGCAGCAGCAAAAACTCAAGCAGCTCAAGTCGCAGCTGCAGCAGCAGCATCTGCTGCTGCAGCAGCAGCACAGCAGCATAAACAAAAGAATTATAGATAGAGAGCAGCAAGAGGATTCTGTATGCAAGAAAAAGAAACAAGAAGAAGTACTTGCTGCTGCTGCTGCTGCTGATCCTTCTGCTGCTGCTGGTGGTGCGTCCTGTCCTAGTGATGATAAGCGGCAACCTCTAGAAGCAGCAGCAGCAGCAACAACAGCAGCAGCAGCAACAACATCTGCAGCAAGTGCAGATTGTAGGAATGGCAGCAGCAAATTGTGCAGCAATCTTGCTGCTGCTGCTGCTGCTGCTGCTGCAGATTCCCAACCGCCTACTGGAGATAACAACAAGCAGCAGCAGCAACAGCAACAACAACAACAGCAGCAGCAACAACAGCAGCAGCAGCAGCAGGAGGATGAGGACGAAGTTGAGGTGTATATGCAGCAATGCCCTTTGCTGCGTCGTTTCTCTCGTTGCTGCAGCATAGAGTTATCTATTGCTGCACACCTGCAGCCAACGCCGCTGCTGCTGCTGCTGCTGCTGTGCTGCAGCAAATCACTGCAGCAACTAATTATTAGAGGATATGATGAAGGAAGCTTCCGATTCCGTAGACAACTGCAGCAGCAGCAGCAGCAGCAGCGGCAGAAGCAGCAGCAGCAGCAGCAGCAGCAACAGCAGCACAACAAAGATACAACAGCTGCTCCTCCAACAACAACCAGCAGCAACAGCAACAGCAGCAACAGCAGCAGCAACAGCAGCAACAGCAGCAGCAGCAGGAGGGTAGCAGAAGGAAGCGAGTTATGTACAGCAGGATTATGTCTTCCTTCTTGTTATATATCATGTAGTGTATGGTTACCAGCAGCAGCAATAGAATATTTGCTGCTGCGCTGCAGCAGCAAACTGCAGCAGCTGCTGCTAGATTTATCCATAAGAAGAGGATATTCTTTTTCTTCTTTTACTAATATTTCTTTTTCTTCTTCTTTTTGCATGCAACAATTAATTATATTAGAATTAATTAATATACATAGGCATAACTTCAGGTATTTCTCCTGCTGCTGCTGCTGTTGCTGCAGTTTGTTGCTGCTGCTCCTCCTGTTGCTGCTGCTGCGGGTGGTGGGGTGGTGCTGCTGGTCCTGCTGCTGGGGTTAATAGGATGGTGCTGCTGCAGCTAACTAGGATGGTGCTGCTGCAGCTAGCTAGCTAGGTAGCTAGCTAGCTAGTTGGTTGTATATATATAGCTAGCCAAGGGGTACAGCTGCTGCTGTTGTGCTTGTGCTTGTGCTGCTGCTGCTGCTGCTGCTGCTGCTGCGCAGATGCGGGGTTTGCTGCTTCCCTTCCTTAGAAGTGCTGCGTCTCCATTGGGCAGATGTATCACCAAAACACCATAATCTTGGGTAAGCAGCAGCAGCAGCAACAGCAGCAGCAGCAACAGCAGCAGCAGCAACAGCAGCAGCAGCAACAGCAGCAACAGCAGCAGCAGCAGCAGAAGTAGACTGTTACCGATCGTTAGTCAGATAGACTATGAGGTGTCTTAGCAGCAGCAGCAGCAACAGCAGCAGCAGTTCTTGTGGAGGAGTTATTCTGCAGAACATAAGGCTTATTGGGGTACTTTGCTGCTGTGTTGCTGCTGTGTTGCTGCTGCTGCTGCTGCTGCTGCTGCAGGCTGCTGCTGCGTGGCTGCCCGAAGTTGCGGTGTCTTTGTGTGCATGCAGACTGCGATGATGATGAGGCAGTTGTGCAGGTCACCTCTTTGTTTGCTGCTGCGCTGCAGCAGCTGCTGCTGCCAGAGCAGCAGCAGCAGCAGCAGCAAGGGGAGCAGCAGCAAGGGCAGCAAGGGCAGCAGCTCGGAGGCAGCAGAGCAGAGCCCCCAAGATGTATAATGACTGCAGCAGCAGAAGAGGCAGCAGCAAAAGCTGTTGCTGCTGCTGCTGCTGCAGGTATCTGCCCCTTACCGCACCTGCAGCAGCTGCAGCTGCCGCTGCTGCCAGCAGCAACAGTCCCGCTGCTGCGTGCTGCAGCACCAAACCTACAAACCCTCCGTCTAGTACTTGCTGATAGCCACAGGTAACCCTAAACCCTAAACCCTAAACCCTAATCGTAAACCCTAAACCCTAATTTTTTCTTAATGCCTTAAACACCCAAACTAGAGGTCAGAACTACAGCGCTGCTGCTGTTGCTGCTACTGCTGCTGCTGTGCTCCTATTGCTGCTGCTGCTGCTGCTCAGGACACGAAGGGGTCTGCTGCCGCTGCAGTTAGCAGCGCAGCAGCTGCAGCATCTGCAGCAAATTGTATTCCCTACTCCTGTTGACTTTGCCCCTGTAGGCATATTGCCTAGGACTCCTGCTGCAGCAGCAGCAGCAAGTGCTGCTGCTGCTGCTGCTGCAAATGATGCTGTAGATGATTTACCTCCGCTGCGGGAAACAGCAACAGCAGCAACAGCAGCAACAGCAGCAGCAGCAGCAGCAGCCGATCCATCTGCTGGTGTTTTGCTGCTGCAAGGGCCTCTATCTGACTTTTTTATTCGTTGTAGATGAGGGAGTTGCTGCTGCTGTTGCTGCTGCTGCTGCTCCTGCTGCTGCTCCTGCTGCAAGAGCAGCAGCAGCAGCAGCAGCAGCAATTTCGTGAGCACAATGGCTGCAGCAACAGATGCGATTTTAAAGTTTTTCTTGTCTTTGTCTACGAGGGTTTAGGGTTTACAGCTGCTAGGGTTTATCTTGAGGGTTTAGGGTTTAGGGTTTAAGGTTTATATTGAGGGTTTAGGGTTTAGTATTAGGGTTTAGGGTTTAGGCTAACAGGAAATGCAGCAAGCCGAGATACAGTAGAATGCTAGGGGCTGCTGCTGCTGCTGCTGCTGCTGTTGCTGCTGCGCTGGCTACGTGCGCAGCATTTGCTGCTGCTGCTGGTTCACTTACAACTGGTGCTGCTGCACACGCAGCAGCAGCAACTGCAGCAGCAGGAGCAGCAACTACCGCAGCAACGGCTGCAGGTGGTGCCTTATCCATTTGTTTGTCTAAACCCTAAACCCTAAACCCTGGGCGCAACAAGCTCGAACTACCACCACCACCAGCACCAGGAGCAGCAGCAGCCACAGCAGCAGCAGCAACAGCAGCAGCAGCAGCAACAGCAGCAGCAGCAGCAACAGCAGCAGCAGCAGCAGCAAAGATAGGTTGTGAATATATAAGGAGAGAAGGGCAGCGTGTCTTAGGGCGATGCATGCAGCCCCAAGGACAACCCCACCGCAGCAACACACTTTTTGTAGAGACACTGCAGGAGCAGCAGCAGCAAAATAAATTAAGAAAAATTATTTAAATAAAATAAATAAATAAAAATGCCTATAAAAAGAACCCCTACACTGCAAACCCTAAACCCTAAACCCTCATGCGTTCTGCGCGATGCGCGCCGGAGCCAAACCCTAAACCCTAAACCCTAAACCCTAAACCCTTGCTTAGGTTATTTAAGAGTATTTTTTGCCCAAATGCATGCAATAATTATCTTCATGCATTTCTTTATTCTTTTAAGAGCTGCCTATACACCTCAAGCTGCCTATACACCGCGAGCTGCCTATACACCGCAGCAGCAAACCTGAGGTGTACGTACACCTCAAGGCAATGCTTTGGCGCTACGGAAGATTTCCCTTCAGACGCGGCAGCAAAGAAAGAATTCAAACAGCTGTCTTCTCTCCTCCTTCTCCTCTGCAGCAGCAGCAGCAGCAGCAACAGCAGCAGCCGCAGCAGCAGAGGCAGCAGAAGCAGCAGCTGCTCGCAATCGCCGTCGCACCACCCTCACCAGTAACACAAGCAGCAGCAACAACAACACCAGGAGAAGCCTCACCTGCAGCAGCAGCAACAGCAGCAACAGCAACAGCAGCAGCTCCATCAGCTGCTGAATTAGCTGCGGAGTATTCGCTGCTTATAAGAGAGCTCAGGGAGCTCCTAGCCGATGAACCCTCTCAACCTGCAGCAGCAGCAGCAGCAGCAGCAGCACCTGCCTCTGCTGCTGCTGCTGCTGCTGATGTTTTAAGCCGATTGCAGCAGCAGCAGCAAAAGTTAGCTGCGCGTCTTCTGTTGCTGCAGCAGCAATTCAAGACTTTGCTGCTGTCTGTACACTGCAACGGACCAGGCGCGGAGGTATTCGATGTACAGGTACGTATAAACCCTAAACCCTAAACCCTAAACCCTAAACCTTTTTATTAGAGGATAAGAAGAACTGTACATCATTAGAGTTAGTGTTTAAGCAGATGCAGTAGCTGCATCCAAGTCTAGGGTTTAGGGTTTAGGGTTTAGGGTCTAGTGTTTAGGGTTTAGGGTTTAGGGTTTAGGGTTTGCGTTGTTCAGAGTGACCCGAAGCTACTTTGGCGGCAAGGGCTTCCAGGTGTCTGCAGCAGTGCTGCTTTTAGTGCAGCAGAGCAGCAGCAGCAACTGCAGCAGCAGCAGCAGCAGCAGCGGCTAGCAGTAGGACTGAGCTCTGGGGGGTTGCTGCTGCTGGGGGGACGTGATGGCTCTCTTATTGCATGCAGGAGGAGGCATGCCCACTTCAGCAGCAGCAGCAACAACAGCAGCAGCAGCAACAGCAGCAGCAGCAACAGCAACACGGATGCGCATGCCGTGGAGCATGCAGCTGCAGCAGAGCAGCAGCAGCAGCAGCACGTGGCTAAATGGCAGCAAGGAGCTGAGAAAGGGAAGGATGGGTTATTTAATTGCCCCTTGCTGCTGCAGCAGCAGCAACAGCAGCAGCAGCAGCAGGAGATGCAGCTGCGGCTGCAAGCCTTCAAGGGAGAAGTTAATAATTTGCTGCAGCGAAGTCTGCTGCAGATGGAGTGGCTTGAGACACACCAGCAGCAGCAGCAGCAACAGCAGCAGCAGCAACAGCAGCAGCAGCAGCAGCAGCAGAATGGGGATGGAGCAGCAGTTGTTGCGCTGCAGTGGTTTGGCTTAGATGTGCTGCTGCAGCAAAGTCCTTTCTATGATGCTGTTCATGCTGCTGCTGCTGCTGCTGCTACGCTGCAGCCAGATCCCCTATGTATATCTGCTGCTGCTGCTGCTGCAGCAAGAGACATCGTAGGCACCTGCCGCAACAGCAGCAGCAGTGACAGCAGCAGGGAAGGAAGCCGCAGCAGCAGCAGCAACAGCTGCGACCCAGATGCAGGCGCCCTGCTGCTGCATGCTGCTCGATTCAGCAGCAGCAGCAGCAGCAGCAGTTCAATGCAGTGTCTGCTGTCTGTTGATGCTGCTGGCTGCTGCTGCTTCTCCTTAGAGGGTTTGCTGCCTCTTGCTGCGCTGCAGCTGCTGCAGTTGCTGCCTCCTGGGGAGACACCCCTGCTGCAGCCCCAAGTGTCTCGCCACTTATGCTGCATGCGGCAGCAGCAACAACAGCAGCAACAGCAGTCACAGCTTCAACAACAGCAACAGCAGCAGCACGAGCAGCAGCAGCAGCAGCAGGAACAAAAGTTGCTGCTGCAGTCGCAGGCTTCCCCAGCTAAGAGGAAGAGAGCAGCAACTCCCTCTACCCCTCGGCTGCAGCGGCAGAATTGCAGCAGCGGCAGCAACAACAACCTATGTAGCAGCAGCAGCAGCAGCAGCAGCAGCAGCGACAACTGCTGCTGCAGCACAAGAAGCAAAGAAGGAGACGAATGGAGTGCCAGCAGCCGCTTGACGCCGCTGCGGCGGACTATGCAGCATCGAGACATCTCCCAGCGAGCAGCAGCAGCAGCAGCAGCAGCAGGAAAATCTGCTGCTGCTGCAACAGCCGCAGCAGCAGCAGCAGCAGCAGAAGCTGCGCGTACACCTGATGCATCGCGCCACAGCTGCCTTCTCTCAGAGTCGCATTCCTTTCGATCTGCAGCAGCTGCTGCAGGAGGTGCTGAGACTGCAGCAGCAGCAGCAACAGCAGCAGCAGAAGATAAGCAGCAAACATTTGCTGCTTCTGCCCCCCTAAGGCTGCTGCTGCAGCAGCAGCAGCTGCAAGTCCAATCTGTCTCTCTGTGGCCTTCTCTTGACTGCCTTGCATTTCTGCTTGCACCCACTGCTGCTGCTGCTGCTGCTCCCGCTGCTGCTGCTGCTGCTGCTGCAGGCAGCTGTGGGGGAGATTCATCGGAGAGCAGCAAACTGAGGTGCAGCAAGCAAGTCCTTGGTTATACACAAAAAAGGGAAGCAACAGCAGCAGCAACAGCAGCAGCAACAGCAGCAGAATCTGTG